GCATATCTTTTGGGATTGTCCTCACACACAGCTATTTTGGATTGAATTTTCTAATGTTATCAATCGCAGTGTGCTCCAGGGTTTCTCTCTGCTTTTTAAGGATGTACTGTTTGGCTTCTTTAATATACCAAAAGATCAAATTAATGAATATTTTATTATTAACCTATTATTACTTCTTGCAAAATTTCATATTCACCGCAGTAAATACACTCATCAAAATCCTTTATATATTGTTTATAAAAAAGAGGTTGAACAGTATATCCAAACTATTTAATCTTCCAAGAAGCTCAAGGCTTTTAAAATGGTTCATTTATTTAATCTTTTTAATTTAGTTTGTTAAATCTTTCATTTTGTATTATTTATTTATTGTTACATACATCTATAAATGGTGCTTTGCATGTAATGTCACCTCTTTGTATGTAATGTTGATATTCTCTGTATTTTTATATTTGGTACCTTGGCATTAATAAAAAAAAATATTTATATAAAAAAAGTCTATGCGACTGAGTCTCTTTTGGAGGCAGCCTCTAGCGGCCAGTCGATGAATTACAGTTTTAGTCACTTCTGTGTTGGTTTCAGGAGAGAGAGAGCGGGAGGTTGCTTCTTGCCCAAAAATGAAGAGACTCGGTTTAATTTATTTTAATAGAAAAAAATAGTATGCAATATTTATAAATTGTGTATTAACTATCATAAAATCTGCTCAAAATTCAAAATAAAAAACTAAAAATATTACTGAACAAAAATATTACATTGATTTTCCAGAAAAACAAACAAAACAAAAAAACTTACATTTCAAGCACCAAGTGTGACCCAAAAATACATTTAGAGTTTAATTATTTTAATGGAAAAAAAATAGCTCATAAAAATGGTATAATAATGTCATACTATCATAAAATCTGCTCAAAATTCAAAATACAAATATTATTGAACAAACATATATTACACTGATTTTCCAAAAAAAAAAAAAAAAACGTGACCCAAAAATGATTTTTTTTTTAGTTTAAATACATTTTAATGGGGAAAAAATCTCTTAAAATTTTATATAATTATTGAATGGTATCATAAAATCTGCTCAAAACTCAAAATATTACTGAACAAAAATATATGACATTGATTTTCCAGAAAAACAAACAAAACAAAAAGCTTACATTTCAAGCAGCAAGTGTGACCCAGAAATGAAGAGACTCTGTGTTAAATGCTTCAAAAGAATGTTTTTAATGTACAGCTGCATAAACACACTTTTCTCCAGCAGTGCTTTGAATATTGGTTTCAAACACATAATAATAATAATGATGATGATGATGATGAAGTAATTTTATTCTGATTTCTATAACACTAAAAAGAAACTGCTTTTGGTTTGTAAGTTCTTTATTAGTTCAATAAAGTCAAGTGAACAGCATCATACACACATAGATTACATATCAGAGGACTAAATGTGTTTCTGTTACAGACAGAGATGTGTGTGTGTCAGTCAGTTGTGTGTGTGTGTAAGTGTGTGTGTGTGAGAGTTTAATGTTTAATGTGACACAGAGACACTGAAGAGTTGTTATAAACTGTAAATCCAGCGTGTAGAGGTTGAGTGAATGTGTGTGTGAGAGTGTGTAAGTGTGTGAGTGAGAGAGTTTAATGTTTAATGTGACAGAGACACTGAAGAGTTCGAATAAAGTCTAAATCCAGCGTGTAGTGGTTGAGTGAATGTGTGTGTGAATGTGTTTAAGTGTGTGAGTGTGTGTGTGTCAGAGACGCTGTAGAAGGACAGAGAGCCGCTCGACTCGTCCAGAAACACTGCTACTCTCTTACAGGAGTCTGAAGCAGCAGAGATCTCAGTTCTCTTATCATTGTGACGAGCAGTGAATCTGTGATCAGAGCAGATCAGACTCCAGGAGTTCACATTACCTCCAAACACACAGTCATCAATCCTTCCTTTCCTCTTGATTTCTTTATAAGCCACTGATATATGAACATCTCCACTCCATTCAGTCTCCCAGTAACAGCGTCCAGTCAGACTCTCTGAACACAGAACCTGATTATACCAATCAAATCTGTCCGGATGATCAGGATATGACTGTCGCTCTTCCACAAGCATCACCTTTCTGTTCTCCTCAGACAGAACGAGGAGAGTGTGTGCTGTGTTTGGATCCAGTGTGAGATCACAGGCGTCTGAACACAACACACACATTACAACACACACATTTACAACTAAACTACAAACAAGAAAACTCTGTCTGATTGAGGACTTACATTTGTGGAGTCCTGCTGTGATCCTGAACTCTCCTCCATGATCCACACTAGAAACACACACACGCACGCACGCACGCACGCACGCACACACACACACACACACACACACACACACACACACACACACACAGACAGATCATTTAATAGTGTTTTATTCTTATCAGATACACACAGTGTAAGTAACTATAAAGTTCCCTCTATTGCTCTCCCAGTTCACCGGCCACTTACTTGCATGTATTTCGGGAGAAAGCGATAGATTTAGCGTGCTGTAAATCTGACTAACGAGACTCTCTGAACTGAACAAACATGGCGGCGCCCATCTTACATTACAGATCACGATCAAGATCATTTAGAAAGGGTTTTAAATGACAAAACACACTCATTTACACATATTTGTGAATCAGAATATCAGATAGTTCATGACATGGTAAGCAAGTTTGTGAATATTTTGAATAAAAATGGAAAAAGGAAATAAAAGCGATCTATTCAGTGTTATTGTGGCCGTGGAGTCACGTGACAAGCATGAGGCGTCTCCATGGAAACAGTAAAGGGGTAACGTTCTAAAATAACGGTCCCCTTAAAAAAACTCACTCTGGGGGGACCGCTAGAATATGTGAAACTCACCAGTGAAAGGGTTAAACATTCATTCATCTCCATGGACCCTTTTCACATTTCCGGGTTTCTCAGCAGCGGAAGTCGTCATAGTTGGGTTAACATGAAGAGCAGTGAATGGGAGAGTACCACAAATCTATTTTTTGCATTCCCAGTTGCTCAAATAGCAAAAGAAAAACTCAAATTATAAGTTCATAAAATTCAGATTGAACCACTGATGGCAGATGGACTATTCTGACGATGTCTTTCATACTTTTCTGGACCTTGACAGTAATTTACTTGGCAGTCAATGGGACAGTCACAAGCCTCCCGGTTTTCATCCAAAATATCTTAAATTGTGTTCCAAAGACGAACGAAGCTTTTGTGTGATTAATGACAAAATTTTCATTTTGGGGTGGAGTATCCCTTTAATTCTCAATAAGGACTTCTGTATGAGATGTGCCAGATATAAAGTCAATCTGGTTAGTAATGGGTGAAGCTGGTAATGCTGTTTGTTTAATCCTCGTCTGCTGAGATTTTGAGAGATTTAATGTCTTCTTTTCTTTCAGTTGATTTCATCTAATGCCGAGTTCACACTGCACTATTTTCAAAGTCATCGGATCACCGTTGTTTTCTCACTACACGACTATCTGGGATAGCATTCAGTTATCATTGTTATCATCGTTCACATTGCACGATGGATCGGCGACAGGAGGTTACACACTGCATGACTTTACAATAGGAAGAATCGCTGACAACTCTGTCTGGTCCGCAAACTACATTTCCCAACCAAACGCACTCGAGAAGAGATAAGGAAATAAATATCTTCATTGTCCATTGTCACATTCATTACTCATTACAACATACCTTAATATTTCATAATGATTGTAATAATTGTTTTAATAATAATAATACTTTTAATACGTTAATAATAATATTTTAATAACATTTAATACTTTTTATTATACCTCATGCACTTATTTTTAATACAGGGTGCACTCTACTGTTACATGCATTTCATAGTACTGAATATTTATTGAATTTTTAGATAATTTGAAACACATTGACTTGACAACTGATTTATGTAGGCTCTTGCTTACAATAAAAACGGATGCTATTTCATGTATTAAAAGTAAAGTAGATAAAGATGGTAAATAAAAAAAAAAAGATTGAGTAAAATAGGAATTTTTCTCAACTTTTTTTTTCTTTCTTGACCCTGTGGTGCAGCTCAGATGAAACATAAAATAGACGTGGGTGCTCCTGCCAAAGTTCGACTAAACTTTCCTCCATTTCTTGGGTCTAAATAGACAGAGAAGGAGCCTTTCTCGGAACCGAAGCTGCTGATAATGTGGTCTATAACTCCTCCCTGAACTTCCCGCTGCCCTGTATCTTGCTCTCTCATTGGATGTAGGTCTTCGCTGATGTATTTTTCAGTCAGAACTCATTTCACACAGCAGGATTTTGAATCGCCAACAGGTCCAGATATTTAGCATGTCAAATATTTCACAGGCATCTGCGATGTGTCTGTGATTCTCTCAGATCGTGTTTTTGATAATTCAAACTGCATGATTGTCACTCGCGTGAACGAGCACAGTTTTTCCTTTGATTTCGGGCATTTGTCAGTGATTTCACAAAACCTGTCGGCGAGTGAAAATCGGGGCTAAAATTGTGCAGTGTGAACTCGGCATAACGCTGTGACTAAAGTCAGTTGCAGTTTTTGTGTTTCTCTTTCCTTCAGTGATTCTGCTTGTTAACAGCAGGTGTTCGTCACTAATGCTCAATCATCACTGAATAAATCACTTCATTATCTCATTAATTTCAACACTGCTTCAGTGTTACTTTAACACTCTTGTAGAGTGGGACCATATATGCTCTGAGCAGTGTTTATTTAACACTCAGGATTTTGCTGTGTAGTAGGCTACTGACAAAATACAAGTCTTCATAGTTAGTTTGAATGGATAAAAAAAAAAAAATTGCTCAAAGCGTACTCCCCAGGGAACAGGGAGCACATCTAATACAGACAATGATTTGCAAACATCATAAAGCATATAACATGATTAAACTAGCCTTATTAGATAATCTGTTCAGAGACTATCTCTTGACTATTATTTCTGCAGTTTGGTTTGGTGACATCAGAGTAGGGATGCAGCGATTAACCGATTTCACGATTAACCGTGCTTTAAAACATCACGGTTAATTAACTGTAAAGAATCCACTACACAGAGTGTTTCTGTTGCATGGAACGGAACTGTTGCAACTTACGCAAAACGAAAACAAAGTTACACCAGTGGTGCACCATTTTAAAGTACCGTGCTTATCAGAGACACGGATGCTACTACACACACTAGATTAACTATGACAGAGGGACCAAACAGCAAAGCTTTACTTCCACCAGAGAAATGCCTGAAGTCGATAGTGTGGGAGCATTTTGGGTACACCAAGAATGACCAGGGCGTCATTTAAATATTGCCGCAATATTGCTGCTAAAAGAGCGAATACGTAAGGGATAATGCACGGTTAGCTGTGCATTAAACGATTTTAATGCACAACGTGAAGGCAAAAACCACTTGACATGAAGCTACTGCTCATTAAATCTAGTACTTTGCCCATTTCACATCAGACATATATGAAATAGTACGGTAAGATCACATTTATTTGAATTAATTATAACATTTACTTGAATTTATTATCCGATCGATCGAGAGAAATAGATTACAGTTGCATGTGTGCATTACCTGCATCTGTGCGTCTCTTTCTACAATCAATGAAACTGTGAGTTTAGTTACTTAAAACACAGCGATTTTACCTCCTCTTTGCTGATGAATATAATGTAGCGATCCAGTATCTAAGCCATTTTATTAATTAAAGTCGTGGGAAGCGTTGATAAGTTTCTGTACTCCTGAATGCCTGCATGTGTGCGCAGCTTGATCTCCGATCTCACAAACCAAAATAATAGACATGATTTTCTCAGGCCACATGTAAAATCATATGAACTATTATAAAGATTATTAAAATGAATACGTATGGATGACAGTTGATGACAGTAACAGTTCAGTTAATTCACCTCATTAGTAACAGTTTACCCTGGGGGGTAAATAAAGTTAATATTAGTCTTATATTAATAATAATACTTCATTAACACTGTGATTTATTATCCCTGTTATAGTATCATTTATAAGTCAAAAACCAACAAGATATTTTTTCACTATGTTTCCAAGTTCTCTGCCTCAGGTCCAAAAGAAATGTAGTAAGAACGCACAAACTCAAAAAACTAAATACTTTTGTGATCTATTTCCATTTGTTATTTTCAAAAGGGAAATACTGACATGGATGTTTACAGAGCAGAGGTCACCTTTTTTTAATTCCAAAGAGAGAGATGGACTTTTGTTTGTCTTTATTATTATTTTGTGTTGTATTATTTGGTTTCCGTGTTATTTCTGTTTCAAAAGACAGCAATAAATAACACTTTAGAGTGTTCATGTGATTGTATACATTAGAAGTGTTGTGAAATTAATAAATGCATAATAACCATGAATTATTCTTCAGACTATAATCGTACCAACAAAATCTATAATCGTTGCATCACTACATCAGAGATGCAGAAATGACTAAGATCTTCACTGGTATCATGGAGGATATTCATTTCAAGCCCTAAATTAAACAATTATCACTGTTTGTTGTAAATTATTTTCCATTTGAGAGCTCATCCAATCATCATAGAGAAGCTCAGCTTCTGTCTAGGACAAAAATAAAGTTATTTAAGCTTCCCATGCAATCTTTTTTGAGAACTAAAGTTTCTCTTGACAACCACAAAACAATGACAAATTCTCTCTCACACACAGCAGACAGGATGATTGTTTCTGCTCAACTTACTTGAGTTTTTCCAGGTGGTTGAGCAGCTTCACTCCTGAATCTCCTGGGTGATTGTAGCTCAGGTCCAGCTCTCTCAGGTGTGAGGGGTTTGAACTCAGAGCTGATGCCAGAGCAGCACAACCTTCTGCTGTCACCAAACACTGAGATAATCTACAACAGAAAGTGTTCATGTTAGTGTGCTTCATTTTTCAGAGAAAAACAATACAATATACAATATAATAACCAACAGGACTCTTCAGCTGGCAGTCTGTGGGCCAAATCCACAAATCCTCTGATTGATTTAAACAAAATTGTGCTGCTGCCTGACACGAGATCATCTGCAAACCTCATAGGTGAGTTCAAAAGCACTTAATGTATATCCAGACCAAAGAGTGTGTCTTTTTTCTGGTCACAGTTCAGCTCAACTGGTTTCCCAAATATTAACCAGCACCATTTAGACACAAATAATCACATTTATTTAATTTCCTATTGCTCACCTTATCAACTGTTCTAAGTCTTCTAGGTCCTTCCCTCTGTTATTAAAAAATGCTGCTGTCTTTCTTATTTTAAAGAAATCTGGGCTCGATTTTACAGTTATGAATCATTTCAGACCTAACTCCATTCTCCTTTCATTTACAATCTCCTTGAAAAAAAGTTGTTGTCTCTCATCTACGGGGCTCCGTTAAATCCATTTCACACTATTAAAAATCATGGTGTTACATTTGCACTTACCTTTCAAAATCATATAAACATAATTTCTAAGACTGCATTCTACCGCCTTTGCAATATTGCCTGACTGCGGCCTGTTCTCAGCCCCAAAGACACTGAAACTATCCGCTTGTTATGTCTGACGTCACGTGTCACCGCTTCCGTGTCCAAACGCTCTATCAGATACCACGAGAAAACAACAAAAGTTGCTAATATACACTCACAATGTGATATAATACTACAAAAAAATGATAATCCTAACCTTTAACTCCATACCGAAATACCAGATAGCCAGACAATGAAAATATAAATATAAAAATTATTTGTGTTTGGGACGCTGTGAACATGAAGCCTGTAGTGTAGACCGTAAGTTTGAAAACGTTTAGCTTAAATGTTTAATATGAATAAACAGTGCTCATAAACGGCTGCTGAGGTAGTATTCTCAAGTGAAGCGAGTTGAGGCTTGGACCTGGAAACAGCGCTTCTTACGTCACCACTTAACAACCGATTAGTTTATAATAGTCATGTCTTGACTATTGTAATCATCTTCTTATTGGACTGCCTGCTAAAGCATTTGCTAAATTACAATATGTCCAAAATTCTGCTGCCACAGTCATTTCTCAGGTTAAGAAATCTGGACATATTTCACATGGATGGCGCCGACCATGATGGCTGCCTCCATGGCGTGCTCCGCAGTCGTTTTTATGTTTTTGTTAGTTTGTTCTGTCTTTAGTTATATCCCTGCAATCAGTTTAACCAGAGACGAATTGCTGGACATTCGGCAGTAAACACCACCCGATATTTCACCGGTTTTCGACTATTCTGATGTTTTGCTGGACATTGTAGTCGGGGGAGCAGCGGCGCTGTTCAGATGCTTCAGGACGCGCAGACGGGGGAAGCGAGCCGGTGCGCTCGTGAAGCTCAGGCAGCGCGAATTCAGGATGCCGTTGCCTAGCATCCATCTGGCGAACCTCCGCTCTCTACCAAACAAAACGGACAAATTCCTTCTGCTCTCCCGGACAAATAAGAATTTTTCAAACTCTGCTGCTCTGTGTTTCACGGAAACCTGGCTGAAAGACGCTATTCCGGAAAGCACGTAGAGTCTCCCGGGCTTTCAGCTGTTCAGAGCGGATCGCGACACAGAATCAACGGGGAAATCACGCGGCAGCGGGACATGCTTTTACATCAATGAAAGGTGGTGTACAGATGTACCAGTGTTAAAGAAGATGTGCTGTTCAGATCTAGAAGTGCTCTTCATTAACTGTAAGCCTTTCCACTCGCCGCGGGAGTTTTGCTCGTTCATTCTCGTCAGTGTTTACATTCCTCCGCAAGCGCACGTGAGCTCCGCTTTACATAAACTCGCTGATCAGATCACAGAGACAGAACAACAACACCCAGACTCTGTTTTAGTCAGATCTGAATGAGTTATACTGCAGGTTTGAAAAAACACCCCACACCCGCCCTGAACACCTCTTCACACAACCATTCACATCTCCAGCAACCCCCCTCTCCCCACACCTGCAATTCAGATCAGCGAAGATGAGGTGCACCAGGTTGTGACACTGTCACACAAGGGACATGTTTTAACCGCTCTATTTATTACAGTGATTTTGTGTATTTATAGAGTTTTAATTGGTTTACATGTTCTTAAGTCCATTGTATGCCTCTTATCCGTTTTAGTGGGTGTGTATGTCTTTAAGAACTGTATGGTTGGCAGGAACCCCATAAAAAGAGCAGCATGGCAAACATGCGTGGAGGCCATTCACAGCTTCCACTCATACCTGGACGGTGGAGTTTCTATTTCATTGGACTTACCTTTCCGGATCACTTGCAGCAACTTGGATTGTATATACACAGGTGGACACTCACATTGGGACTCAACGTCACACTGGGATTCTTGGACTGTTTTTAGGGTATGGACAAAATAACTGTATTCTTTTAACAGAATGAGTTTACCTGGTTTTATAGTGTTGTTTTAAAGTCTTTTAATGTGAACCTGTTAATACACCATTCTTATTAACCGTATTTCTAGTTTGTCATTCTTTTAACACGTTTTAACTCTCATACAGAAAAGTCAGACCCCATTTCAATTTTAGTAACCCCAGGCCACTGGGCTGAGCGTTACAAGGTCTTCCGGAAGCAGAAAAGGAAAAAAAGCACCAGGCCCAGATTGTGTTACACCAGTCTGTCTGAAATCCTGTGCTGAACAGCTGGCCCCCATCTTCACACAGATCTTTAACAGATCACTGGAGCTGTGCGAAAGCCCTTCATGCTTCAAACGATTATGTTCTGCAACATCTAGACAGACCAGGGACTTATGTGAGGATCCTATTCGTGGACTTCAGCTCGGCCTTTAACACTATCATCCCAAACCTCCTCCTGCCCAAACTAACTCAGCTCTCCGTGCCAACCTCCATCTGTCACTGTCATCAACAGCTTCCTGACAGGCAGCCAGCAGTTAGTGAGGCTGGGAAAATACACATCCAGCACCCGTATAATCAGCACTGGAGCTCCTCAGGGTTGTGTTCTCTCCCCGCTGCTCTTCTCCCTCTACACCAACGACCGCACCTCTAAAGGACTCTCTGTCAAGCTCCTGAAGTTTGCAGACAACACCACACTCACCGGCCTCATTCAGGATGGTGACGAGTCTGCTTACAGACAGGAGGTTAAAGTGCAGTCTCAACAACCTGGAGCTCAACACACTCAAAACTGTGGAGATAACCGTGGACTTCAGGAGGAACCCACCTGCTCTCCCTCAACTCACCATTATGGACAGCACTGTGACTGCAGTGGAGTCATTCAGGATCCTGGGCACCACTATCTCTCAGGACCTGAAGTGGGTGGGACACTCACATAGACTAGCAGACCAGCAGAGGTTGTACTTCCTTTGCCAGCTGAGGAAATTCAGGAGCTGCTGAAACAGTTCTACTCCGCCATCATTGAATCTGTCCTCTGCACTTCTATAACTGTCTGGTTCTGCTCAGCTACCAAATCTGACCTCAGAAGACTACACAGGGTAGTCCGGACTGCTGAGCGAATCATTGGTACAACCCTCCCTTCTCTCCAAGAACTGTACTCATCCAGAGTGAGCAAAAGGGCTGGCAAAATCACTCTGGACCCCTCACATCCAGCACAATCCCTCTTTGAACTGTTGCCATCTGGTCGACGCTACAGAGCACTGAGCACCAGAACGGCCAGACACAGGAACAGTTTCTTCCCTCAGGCAATCCATCTCATGAACACTTGACAGTAACTGTGGAACACACACTATTTATTCACTCATACACTTATTTATCAAACACACATACTCAGTCTACATTTCAATTTGCACATAATATATGTGCGGTCTGCTCTAAACAGCTGAAAGCCCGGTTTAGAGCAGACCGCGACGCAGAATCAACGGGGAAATCACGCGGCGGCGGGACATTTTATCACCCTAAACCCTAGTACATCCCTACAACTTATTTTATTTTATTATATTCCTATTCCATCTATAGCACACCTGTACATACAATTTATTCTTTTTTTTTGTGGTTTATATTTATGCATGTGTATTTTATTCACATCTCACTTTTATTATCTGTGTGTTGTTGTTGTCTCAGTGTACTGGAAGCTTGTGACACTATAACAAATTCCTTGTATGTGCAAACATACTTGGCAATAAAGCTCTTTCTTTCTGATTCTGATATACCTGTACATACAATTGTCGATTTGTGTATTTTTATTCCTTATTTACTTGTTCTATTTTTTATTTATTTTTATTTTTTATTATCTGTGTTTTTTGTTCTGTCACTGTCATTGTTACACTGTGGAAGCTTCTGTCATGGAAACAAATTCCTCGTATGTGTAAACATACCTGGCAATAAAGCTCATTCTGATTCTGATTCATATTACCCCAATTCTTCATAATCTGCTTGATTGCCTGCACTGTTAACCCTTGCTGTAGAAAAATGGCCAAATGTTGACAGTAACATACTATTTTCTATAAAACCAGTAATATTCGGTAGAAAACAATGCATTCTGGGTAATATTTGCATTTTCGAAAAAGCAGCCTGCAGGAATATACTGTGAATTAACAGAGCTCAAAGTCAACACTCAGAGGCGGAGACTATCAACACTCAGAGACTATACCCTCAATTACTACTCCCTACATAAGATTACTTGACTGACTAAAGGAAAGGAAGTGAGCGAATTCAAACACTGATGAACACCTGATGATAACAAGCATAATCACTCAAGGGCAAAGAAACAAGCAGAAATACAGGAACAACAACTGACTTCCAGCTTCAGCTTTAAGACCCTTTCACGCTGAGTGTGAAACCAGTTTAGTTTTATTGCAAATAATAAAGTTTGTATTGTTATGGGGATCAGTGTTTGCTTTAGTTGTGCCATTGAACCTTGACTCTTACCATTAAACATTTTCTGTCTGCTGAAACGGTGTTCAAAAATCACATTTGTTATGG